TTACAGTGTGTGTGTGTGTGGAGGGATTCCAGTAGTCTCACCAGTACAGCTTTTATTTTATTTTAATTGTTTGAAGAGGGTCTTTTCGGCATTTACAACTCCCTCTGGCTTAACTAAACAAATACAGTATGTTGCTGATGATAATGTTTTACCACTTTGTTACATCCTAGTATGAATGCTGATTCAGCATTCAGACAGCTGTTTTATTTTTATGGGTTCATTTAATTGCAGTCTATCCACTTCTGCACACTTTCACACTTAAAAGATAATCAGCATTCAACTTTTGCAAAAAACGTTTTAGCAAAGAACATTTTAGCAAAAAACATTTTCTGTAAAGAACACATTTTTGAAAAAAAAGAAGAAAATAAAGCATCTCTAAAGAACATTAAACATCTGCAAAGCCTCTGAGGATGAACTGCATTGTTAAATCTGATAATGTTTTAGAGCAGCATCCACAGCACATCTGTGCAGAACAACTGGCCGGAGCACAGGAAGATCTAATCTTGTGAATGAGATTGTGTCAGATTTAACCTTGCCTCACATAATCACCACGCATTCTCCAAATTACTTTTAGAAGCACAATGCCCTGACATAATCTGCAGGTGATCTGTGAAGCTACTTCATAAGCAGCTGAAATAGAGGCAGTGAATATGTCAAAAACGGTACAACTGGATGTTTTTCTGCCAAATTATAAATGTGCCAAAAGGAAGAACTCAGATTTTCATTTTGTGTTTTACATGTTTGGCCTGACTTTTTACCCCCCAAATTCTTTAGCGTTAAAAACAACACATTTAAGACAAAATAAAACTTTTTATCACTTATCCAGCTTTTACCTCTGCAAAACAGACACAACTTTGGAATGTTAAATGTTACATGAAAACACCTACCCAGATCCAGCAGCCAAAACTTGCAGTTGTCGGAGTGTTCTGGCCCCGTTAAATCCATAGAAAAAAATGGACTTAAAGACACTAATGACTCAACTCCACGAGCCATGTCAGCTAGTTATCAAGCCTCTGGATATATATGTGTTTTTCCCCTCTTTTCCAAGCACAATTAAAATTCCTGCAAAGATCCAAACATGTTTGGACCAGATCTTTAGTCAAAGGCAGTCATTCCAGGATAAGAAATCATGAAGTCCAGCATGAGGAGAAAATGCAGAAGTCCAATGCAGCATTAGGAGTGTAGGATGTTTTCTCTCTCTTTCTTTGTATCTCCTTTCCTCCCACCCTCCCATGCGAGTGGGCTGCTGTGAGGATATTGGGCAAACCTCCACTGCGCCTCTCCTTGTTCCGAAGGGATGTCTGGAAAGAGCAGCTCATCTACCGTATTACCCTTTGTAGGAGCACCCACTCAGTTTGTGTGGGCGGGTGCATATTTTACAGGCATTTAGGTTGCATACAAGTTGTGCCGGGAACAAATATAGTTCTGGTTATGAAACTAAAGGAGAAGCAGCGGCGTTTCGAAGGAAACTATACAGGCTGGATGCACAAGGATGCTTCTGTTCATCTCGGTGTTTGTGTGTGTGTGTGTGTGTGTGTGTGTGTGTTTGACTAAAACAACCACTCTTCAGTGATGACAGCTGGCCTTCTTTCATCCTGTTCAGTAAATGAGTAAATAAAAGTAGTATGTATGGTTGATTTTTTGGCTGTCGACAAGCAGCATCCTATTATCAGAGTTTGGAAATTACTTTGTTGTTTCATACAAAGGCCTCAAAAGGCTGATTATTCCCTGCTGTGAGGTTTAGAATAAAAAAAAGACACGTTTCCTGTCATTCTCACAACTTAAAAAGCTAATAAAAAACATCAATAACATTTCCTATCCACCAACCCCCATGTATTTATTTATTTGCTGTAATAACCCTGCATTTCGAAGCTTCTTTTTTTTCCTGCCCCCACTCCTTCTAACGAGACAAGCTACCCAAACATGCAGTCAAGGAATCCAGATGAGAATCATCCCAGCTGGAACCTGAAAGGAAAAAAAAAAAACCCACAACAAAAACAGCTGGGAAATTCTTCCTTCCACCCTGGGCTGTTCTAGTAAATCATTCAGCTAATGCCAGAACTGTGTGCTCATCACCATCATGTAAGCACAGCCCGGGCAGCCTGTAATTTAAATACAAAATGCCAAATTTTTTCTCACTCTGACTACAAAGAGGCGGCCAGCTAAATATTTGTATGCTGAATCTCCATAGAAACAAGCAGCCCCAGCTCTCACCCACTCTTACAGATTAAAAAAAAAAATGAAAAGAAAAGGCACAAGTAGAAGCTTCTGCCAAGATATGACAGCACTGATCAGAACTCCAACTACATCCCAAACCGTGACCATTTCTTTATTTCTTTGGTTAGGATTTCAATTGTTATGAAACAGAAACACATACTGTAATATGAATTTTCTGTAGTGCGTAAAAAAATGTAGGTTCAGGCCAACACCTACATGCTCAGGGCTTCATGTCAGCAAACAAACACACATACAAATAAATAAATGTATTTATGATTAAACACCTTGGCAAGACAGGTTGAAAATATGAACAGCTATCTTATGTGGAGGCATTAAAGTGACCGTTCAGATCATTTTATGAGGGGTTTGGAGGGTCTGTGGAATAGTTATATACAACTAGTATCTAGTACATAGCTTTTTTTAAAAGTTTAATTTTAGATCTGATCAACAAGCTAACGGCTCGTACCAACAGGGCAGATTACTGCCATCCTAAAGACGGTGGCTCATCTGCTGGTGTTTTATAAACTCCTGGACCACAGCCAGTTGTACACTGCGCTACTATTCCAGCAGAAATATTTGGAAAATCTTGCCAGAATTCATGAAACAAGTACTACAACTGCGGCTGCTATTTGTGCTTGTACATAACCATTACAGGTTTTTGTGACAAAACTGTGTAGTTCAGAGTGGGCACCGTTGCAAAGGTTAATAAAATAATGTTTGCATGAACCGATATGACAGGGCTGTTCGACTAAACTGCTCAGGGGGCCACAGTTACCCAAAACCAACAGCTCAGGGGCCGGACATCTGGGTGTGGAGGTGTTGCCTGATAACGGTAGAGGAGACGCTGAATTATGGAAAAGAACAAGTATTATTATCTTTTAAACTTGTTTTTTTTTTGTTGGTGAAGGTTTTAAGTCTTCTAGGTCATGATCAATCAAAAAAATAAAAATTAAATTAATTAAATTAATTAAATAAAAAAAGAGCTATCTGTAATGGGTAAGACAGTAATTGTTCATAACCTTTCTCCAGATACTCACGTCAAAAAATCTAAAGCTACTCTTCAAGGCAGGGGTGTCAAACTCACTTTCACCAAGGACCACAGATTTATGAGATTTATGGTGGTCCTCAAAAGGCCAGTTGTAATTAACTTTAAAGCTTTGTGTTTAACGTTGAATAAACGTGTCGCGTTCCTCGTCCCATTTCCACAGCTGAGCACAACTAACAGTTCAATTCAGTTCAGTACCTTTTTTGTCCCCAAGAAGGGAAATCTGATTTGCAGCCAAGCATTTCCAACAAACATACAACACAACATATTATACAAAGACAGTGTCGAAGCATACAAGCAACAATTTATGAAGGTTTAAAGAAATTTTAAAACTTTAAAATTTTGAAATTTTAAAATGTGATTGCTCTGGGTACAAAGGAGTTCTACCATCTTTAACTCTAAACCTCCGTTTTTTGCAGCCAGGGATTCCTAACTTAGGCAATGTTAAAAACATACAAACTTCAAAAAAAGCAGCCATCTGTAAAATTATATTTGAGATTTTAAAAGCTACAAGTTCAAAAAAAATTTAAACTACGAGTTTAAAGATCTGATTGCAGTGGGTACAGAAGAGTTCTTCCATCTGTTACTTATAATCCTGGGGAGCCTAAAGCTCCGGCCAGAGGGAAGAAGCTGGAATTCTGTGTTTAAACGATGTTCTGAGCAGTGTAAGATAAGCCTTGCTTTTTGGACAATACGACAAATGAAAATATCATTAAGGGGGGGGATTGGAACTAACAAACCCTAACTGAGCACTACAAGCTATTTCCTGCATAGAAAGTGTTTTACCACGTCCTCTTATAAACACTGAAAAGTACTACGTGTACGACTGATTGAATGGGAAATACATAATACAGAAATACTAGTAAAGTAAGAAAGTTTTACTTCCTGTTGAGTTGCGGTGAGTAGCTGTCTTCTTAGATTCTGAGCTCTCCCATTTTCTGAATTCCCCCCTGACGGGTGTTCCAGTTTAAACATACTATTTATAAGTGGGAAATTCCCACTTTCAATTACAACTGGGCCACAGCAAAACTAGTCAGCAAAAATGCTTCAAAATGGATATTTTGCACTGGGAATTTACCTTTACTTGAGAACTCTGTGCACCTCCACCTAGTGGTAGGATGCTGTCATTTCATGGGTCAAATATTTGGCATGCATTATGGGAGAAGTAGTTTATAATCAATGCTGGCTTTAAAGCAGCATTTTAATACAGCTTTGAGGCTCTCGCGGGTCACATAAAAATGCAGTGGTGCGCCACATTTGACCCGCAGGCCTTGAGTTTGACACATGTGCTTTAAGACATGATAACAGATGCAGAGTCCAACATTAAACCATCCAGGATTTTATTTGTGTTATATTGAAGGGGTCTGTTGTTACATATGTGAGCCAAACTGAGGCTTCCTGCAGGTAACGAGACGTATGGCTGGTAAAGTGTGGGGAAGTCAAAGGCTGCTTTATGGAAAGCAAATTAAAAGACAGTCGTGCTTCAAGCGGACTTGTCATCGTTGCATAGCAACACTTGGAAATAAATGTTTGTGTTTTTCCTCCAAGCAGCTGTTCAATATGAAGTGTAGGGTAAACAGTTAAAAAAAAAACAATAAACGCATCCGATTAGTTTTCCTATCTCCAGATGACCGGGAAGAGCAGCTGTTTTTGTGTGTGTGTGTGTGTGTGTGTGTGTGTGTGTGTGTGTGTGTGTGTGTGTGTGGGGGGGGGTTCCATTTTATTATCCAGCTCCTACCTTTGTGGTTGAAGAGCCCCTCCATTTCCATGGAGGACCGGGAGTGAGCAATGCACAGGATGGAGCAGGGCACGATCCCCTCCTGGGCCGGGGAGCGGTCGGTGGTCCGGACCAAACACCAGTCTGGCTTGTCGTGGAGCCGCTCCAGGACCTCCACCGTCTGGCCCCGGCGCACCGTCATCTCCCCGTTGCTGCCCCCGTTTCCGGCCACAAAGTCATGCATCACCACCGTCAGCTCGCAGCCGCCAGAGAGCTGCGGGGGGTGGGAAGCAAACAGATGCTAAACATTAGCAGCTATATTTAAAATGCTGTAAACACTAAACATAGATGCTCATAGAAGGCACTACTAATTTGGTGCCTAAAAGAATAATCCCGCATGACATTTCCAACAAGAAAACAATCGACATATACTGAACAAAATGCAAGATTTCCAACTTAGTATTGCTTATATTTTTTGCTGTTTTACCCAAGCAGGAAGTGAACAATTAGTTATAAATGATGACTCATTTCATTCAAAACGCCACTCTTACTCTTTAAAGTGTTTCTGTTTGACGTGGCTGTGATGAAGCTGCTGCTGTGTGTGGAAGGATAAACCTTATTACACAAATACTGTATATATATTTTTAAACAATAACAAAAATAGACATTTCAAAAAATTAAATTGTGGGCATAAAATAAATAAATTAAAAATGTTTAATGTAAATGTTTCAAATAAAAAACCTGTAAAAATAAATTTGATAAAGTACAAATGAAAATAAAGCCTTTTTAAACTTTTACAACCAGAAGCTGCTCTTCATATTAGTGACAAACAATAACAGTAACAACAGCTTTTTGACAAGTTTAAAGTTTCTTTAAAATACATTCAAAANTACATACATACATACATACACACACATATATATACATACACACACATATATACATACATATCAATTTGTTTTATCGCCAAGAAGAAATTATAAATTCTATTAAATATTTTACAGTTTATGTGAAAAAGACAACAATATAATTTTAGATGACTTAAATAATCGTGAACATACAAGCCCAAATACCTAAAGATAAAGTATGATTTTAAATGACTAAATAATAAAATGCAAACTTGAATGATGTGACTGCTGATGTGATCCTTGTGGCACAGCATTACAGAACAATCCCATTAATTTCTATATTTGCAACATACCCTCTGGTAGTGTGGTAAAGCCAGAGAGCTGAGAAGCTGCGAAACGGGATTGGAGATCCTCTCCTCAAGTTTGTCAATTGTCTTCCACTCCCTCATTGTGAAAGATTGTCCAAACAGCACAAAGACTCAGTGTAGTCTAGCTTTAAAAACGTCACTAAAACGAAAGGCTCCAAATTGCTCTTAGATGCTAAAACAATAATAGCAAGTGTTTTTGCTATAGAGTATTAAATTTGGAAAAACAGTCTTAAAAAAATCCTTAAAGACTTCAAAATCTTCCAAAGTTAAAATATGTGTCCACTGTAAAAAATTCAAAAGCATCTGTACAATCTGAAGGATGTCCTCTTAAATTTCCTCCTGTGGCACTGTAATTAATCCAGCCTACTTTTCAGAACAAAACATTCCATAAAGTTGTGAAAAACAAACAAACAAACAAACAAAACAAAAAAACAATCATAGCTTGAATTTTGAAGCAAAGCATCAGATCGATGGCTGCGAGAAGTTCAAACTGCGCTCTCCTGTCTGGCACAGAGACGAGCATCCTCTGTGAAGAGGTGCGTGGGAGGCTGAGGCTGCTGACACACAAGTCAGTCACATGAACAGAGACACACCGGAACACACACACACACACACACACACAGGCACACCACTGTCGCTGCCCCCTGAATGAAACGTCTCATGTGAGTCCCTGCAGACAGAGAGATGCTTTCAAAAAGCCAGAATGAGAAGCCCATTCACGTGCGCACGTGTTCCGCTGGGGTTCCAATCTTTATGCACGCGAGCGGGTGTCTCAAACGGAGGAGACCATCCTTAATTAATTAGGGGCTGCGGTGGCTCGGACTCACGTGCACTCATTTCACCTTTTAAACCAGCTCTAGGTTACATAAAACCACAGAGGCGTCGAGATTATAGCTCCGCAGTTAGCGGTTAAATAAACCATGAAACTGAACACGGTCATTTTCTTATTTTCCTGATTGCAGAGCGAGGCTGAGTTGGGGAGAATCCAAGTCAAGTGCGAAAATAATGACCCGGTCCACTCCTCCGGTTTATAATTATTACGACATAAATGCAATGCAAGATTTGATTTTTTTAAATCTGTGTGTGTGTGAGTGTGCTCTGTGTGTTTGCTTTACAATTGATCATCCTGAGTGTGGGAGGATAAGCCTTCTGTGGTGTCATTACCAGATATAACCAAAGCTGAAAATCTCTGTTCGCAGTGAGCTCCCTCACACACGCACGCACGCACGCACGCACGCACGCACGCACGCACGCACGCACGCACGCACGCACG